TAAACTTAACACAGACTTCTCATCCATTCTTATCTTAATGTTAAAAATAATTAGAAAAATTAGATTTATTTTTTATTTTAAAATTTAAAAACTTGCGATTTATTGTAACCCAATCCCTTTAATAATCCACCAATAGCACCTTGAGAGAAATTTCTTCCTTTATCACCACTTATATGTCTAATCAAACTATCATAATAAATACGATTAATACAATAATAATAATCTTTATTTATTGACTAAATATATAATTTATATTTTAACTTATTAATTATTATTACCCATCAGGTCCACAAACCAATATCATTATATCTTCGTTTGGATTGGGTAAAAATTTCTTTATCATATCTTCATTTATAAATCCTACTCCCCACTTCCAATCATCATTACTATTTCCAGGTGATGGCGGATTGTCGATGGTGTAATAAATTTTCAATCTATCAGGATATTTATTTGCTAATTCATTCAACTCATCATATAATAAAACATCGCTTTTTGACAAACTTGAATATAGTAAAAATAATTTGGTTTTATCATTTGGATTTCGCAAAATATGACTTATTATTTGCTTCCTTTATGAAAAAAACAAGAAGAGGTAAGTTATTTTGTGATTCATCTTTCAGACGAATATTATTGTTATTATTATTATTTACATTGGAGTAATTCCTGTTCCACCACAAATCTTTTAGAAAAAAAATAATCTTTTGAATCAATAAATAATCCTACTGAATATTTTCTAATAAAATATTATATATTACCATTCCAATATATTTTTTCATATTTGTCTCATATTTCCAAGTGGTCAAAGGTCCTCTGATACTAACTGAATCACCAATTTTTAAACTATTCAAATAATTTGACATGTATCCATTCTTATATTTTTTAATCAACAATTCTAAATAACTTTTATCATCATCAGTATTATTAATTGGTGTATATTCACGTAATATTTGAGCTGCTTCATCTTTTATTTGAATGCAAGAAGATATTGGTAATGGTTGGTTTAGCGGATTTGGTAATCGAAGACGATATAATGTGGTATTATGATTAATTTGTTTGATTGAAGTTATTTTACAATATATAAATTGTGTTGACGATAAAAAATCTTTGGATGAGTTATTGTAAAAATAATAATATAATATTGTTGGTGTTATAATAATTCCTGTTAGTGCAAATAATTTTTTTTTGAAGTTTGAATTGTTTTTAATTAATCTTACTTTTGTAAATGTTGAGGTAAATTTTGAATTATTTAGTAATAAAGAGGAAGAAGAACTGAAAGAAAATTTTGTAAATTTTGTAAATAATAATGGCATTTTTTTTTTTTGATATTATCAAAGGTCAAAACGAAATCAAAATTTCAAATTTTTTGTCCCTATAAGAAAATCACACAAGAAATCTCCTAGAGATGTTCCAATGTGCACGTAATTTTGGAAATCATACATTTGCACAGAGAAATTTAAATGTATGAATTTCAAAAATACTGTATATGGTTGCATTTCGAAAAGTTTAGACTTGCATGATGTAAATATTGTAATTATGAATCAAGTTGAAGATATGAAGGACATTTAAGAATATGCCAATTAGTACCAGCTCAAGTTTTACAACTTTTTCTTAGTACAAATAATAATAATAATAATAATAGCAATAAAATAGCAATGAATCATCTTCACTATCATCAACGACAATAACAACAATTCAAGAGTAATTCATCAGTCTATTAATAATTCCTAGATCGAATTTCAAAAACTGAACAAGAACTTGAAATACTGTTTGCAAAATCAACTCAATGCTTATAAATTGTAAAATCCAAAAAATAAAGAAAAAGATAATATTAGCAAAAAAAAAAATGGTGATAATAATGAAGATGAAAATGCTGATTATAACGAGGGTGAGGAAGATAATACTGATGATGATGATGATGATGATGATGATAATGAAACTATGACGATGATGACAACAATGATAGTTGAACATCTGGAAATTTTTAATTAAACTATTATAATGCTACAAGAAAACTAAATCAATCATTAAATAATAATAGCAATGAAAGTTGATAAAGCCTCACAACAACTTGAAGACAACAATAGAATCGGAAAACGAATGAGATTTACAATTTAAAGTTTCTTAATATAAATAAATATATTGTGGTATGTGGTTAGTATTTTCTTGATTTGGATATGAATTAGACTAAAATAATAATAATAATATTTTGAAAAGTGATATATTTTAAATATCAAAGTCTGTGACAATTAAAGACCAAACTTTTTAAAACACAATGATGCATTTGTTCCACCAAATCCAAAACTATTAGTCAATGCATAATTCACCTTCTGATCAATTGGTGTCTGTACAAAATTAAATTGACTTGTGTTTTCTAATTGTGAATCCAAGCTATTCAGATTTAGATTAGGTGGCAATATGTCCTTTTTTAATAATAAAAATATTTAAAATTAAATAAATTTGTGTGGATCAAAAATTTCATATTAAAGAAGAAAAAATAACTTTTTAATCCAAAAATTACATGATAAATTGCTAGTATTGTAAAGATAGCTTCAACTGCACCAGCAGCTCCTAATAAATGTCCAATTGATCCTTTAGTTGAAGAAATTGCTAAATTTTTCTTATTATTATTATCTAATGGAATTTTTTTCTTTAATAATAATAATCAAATGTATAACAGAATATTTAAAACTAATAATAAGTTTTTACCTTTAGAATGAAACAATGAATGAATTGCTTTGATTTCAGCTACATCACCTAATTTGGATGGGAAATTTTTATGTATTCAATTTTTAAAAATAAAAATAAAAATCAATAGTGTTATTTTTATTGTTGTACCTATCAGGGTTGAGGTAGCATGTGTATTTATATAATCTATGTCTTTTGGCAAGATTTTTGAATGATTCAATGATCTAGTCATTGCTAATTTTGCTCCATGTCCATTTTCATGTGGTGCAGTCATATGATAGGCATCACCTATTATTATTTATTATTAAATGAATTAGAAGATTTGTATTAATAGAAGATTTGAATTCATAATATCTTTCTTACCTGATAACCCATAACCACATATTTCTGCATATATACGAGCACCACGACTTATGGCATGATGATATTCCTTTTAGAAAAATTAATATATTTATACAAAGTTAAAATATCATAAGCTCTTATATATGTTTATTAATTACCTCCAGCACAAGCATTCCAGCACCTTCACTTATCACAAAACCATTTCGATCTTTATCAAATGGCCTTGAAGCTTCCTTTGGATTGTCATTAAATTTTGTTGCTAAAGATTTTGCTCTAATTATTATTTAATAATGATAATATTAATAATTTGTAAAGAAAAGTCATTCTTATGTAACTTAATATTACTTTGCAAAACCTGCTATGGTTAATGGCAGTATGCATGCTTCAGATCCACCTGCAATCATAACATCAGCATCACCAAACTGTATGAATCTACTAGCATCACCTATTGAATGTGCACCTGTAGTACATGCTGTTGACACTGAGTGATTTGGACCCTTTTATATATAAATATTTAAAGAAAATTAGCCCAAAGTTTTAGGAACCAATAATATATTTATATATATAGCTTACACGAAACCCATATTTCAAACTTAAGTGACCTGCTGCCATATTTATTAAAACTCTTGGTATAAACATTGGATTTACTTTATGTGCACCCTATAAAAATTAATACATACATATTAGTCAACATTCCATTGAAAGAAAGCATGCAATGATAAACATAATCATAGAATGAGGATTTACATGCATGTTCTTTATAAATCATACTGGTATCAATTATATCCTGAAAACTTCCTATTCCTGATCCTATACAAACTCCCTATTAAATCATTCACAAATAAAAATTTTAAATAAAGTATATTATATATATACACACATAGAATAAACATTACAGTTTTTTCTTTATCATCATCTAATATAGAAATCCATTCAGCATCAAATAATGCTTGTTTTGCTGCACAAATTGCATATTGTGTAAATAATGCCATTTTTCTTTCATCCTATCAATCAAATAAACAAACAACATGACATAAACAATTAATTTATTTACTTGTTAAAAAGAGAAATTCTTTATCTTTAAAAGCTTTTTAGTTACCCCGGGATCTAACCATTCTTTAGGATCAAATCCACTATCTTCATATTTACCAGGTTTAACTAAACCAGCTACAGTTGATGTCAATTTATTAAATCCACCATTCTCTTTTTCATTATATGGCAAATTTGATAGTCGGTTATCACCAACACCAATTCCATTTTTAACATTTTTAGATGACTTTAGGGATACAATTCCACATTCTTTGCTTATTAATTTTTCCCATGATTTTCTTACGCCTGTCGCAAGTGGTGTAACCAAACCCAATCCTGTTACTACAACTCTTCTTGACATTTAAAAATTAAAATTTTGGGATGTATTGTAAATGTTACACGATTACATAATTTAAGGTAGGGTTGCACTGGTTCCAAGACCCGACCGACTCCAAATTCACCGTTTAAAAAAACCTGGTTAAAGACCGGTTAGAATTTTTACATTTTATTTCGTATCCATGACTTTATACATAAAATTGTGGTGATTCGACTTGAAATTGCTTGTTGAATTATTGTCAGAAGAGAGATTTGAATTGTGTTTGTGTTTGGATAGAGTTAATTTAAAGAGTTATTTTATTAAAACTTTCAACTAAAATCGAAATCTAAAACTAAAATCGAAATTGAAATCAAAATTGAATTCGAAATAGAAATAAAAAAAAATCAGTTCGAAATTCAAATTTTACTAAATTAATGTATGAGCCTTTATTAAAATCACATCACCTTTTTGAATGTGATTCCAAGTTGTCAATTTTGAAATTAGTATAAATTTATTTATTGAATTGCACAAGTCAAGATCGAGTCAAACTCATCCTTGACTTGAGCCAGCTTGAGAAGTAAGGGAAGGATTTTAAATTAATGCCGATCTGGGCAAATTTAACAGAGTCATGCGTTTATTATGTTACATAATAATAAAATTTCGATAATTTCGATCTTTTTTTAATAATAATAATAATAATAATAATAATAATGGATTTATTTCGCATTCTTGGTAATGGAGCAAAATTTAACAAAAAAAGATTTAATGATGATATTACACTTTTTGAGGTATGTTAAATTAAATCACAATTATTTAATATTTAAGGCATAATATTAATTATTTTGTTTATATCAATAGGCCCAGAAAATAAATCAGAACAAAAAAATTAAACAAGATACAGATCTATTTCGGGAAATTGATTTTTTCCACAACGATGAAAATTCAATTGCAGAAAGCCTGGGAGAAATACAATTCGAGGAAAAAGATGCTTCAATAGAAAGTGATTCAGAAAATAGTGGTAAAAAATCATTTAACAAGATTCTTATAATAAATTATCTATCATTAATCTAAATGATGTTTTCTTTTAAGATAATGATTCTGATATTGATGATGATGAAGATGATAATGATTCATCAGAAGAAGAGCCCATTACTTTTGATAATGTAAGGCATTATTTTTTAGCGAGTTTTTTTTTTAGTTTGATGTGATGTTAATCATTTATTCATTAATATAGGTTAAAGAATTTCGCAAACGTCATAGAATTCGAGTTTATGGAACTGATATTCCAAATCCTTTTCGTAAGTTTGAAAGTCTTGAAAAAAAATATGAATTTCAATCATATATATGTAGAAATTTAGAAAAGACAAATTTTAAACAACCAACACCAATCCAAATGCAAGCAATTCCAATTCTTTTACATGTATGGGTTTAAATTTTTATTGCTAATTAAAAAAATACAATAAATGATCTATTAACAAAATGTATGTGTATACATATATGTAATGGGGTTTAAGGGGCGAGACGTTATGGCAGTGGCACCTACAGGATCAGGCAAAACACTGGCATATGTATTGCCAATGTTACATGACTTGAAAGGGCATGAAAAGATTGGATATAGGGCCTTAATCATATCACCAACAAGAGAATTGGCTCAACAAGTAAGTTGAAATGATTTGGATATTGGCTTTTTTGATAATATTGGTATAATTTTTATTATATTTAATTTTATTTTAATAAATCATTCAGATATATTTAGAAATTAAAAAAATGAGTATTGGAAGAAAATTCAAAATTTGTATGTTAACAAAAGCAACTGCTTCCACACAAGCTCAAGCACCTCAATTAAGAGAGAAATTTGGTACATGTATAATAATATTATAAAAATTATAATATATTTTTATTTTTATTAATATATTAATAAATTTATCTATATATTACTAAGATATATTGATAAGCACACCGCTTCGACTTGTCAATGCTATAAAAAATGAAAGCATTAATTTGAAAAGGTAAGAAAATAAATAATACCTCAATACAACATGTATGTATGTGTTAGATGACAATAATTATTAAAAATTTTATTTTTTTGTCAAAAATATTATTATTTTAGTGTTAATTATTTAATTTTGGATGAAGCAGATAAATTACTCGAGCTTGGATTTTTGGAACAAACAGATGAAATATTTGCAGCATGTCCAAATCCAAAATTACAAATGGCACTATTTAGTGCAACGTTGCCATCAGGAGTTGAATCTTTGGCTAATAATTTTATGAAAGATCCTATAAGGGTTGTTATTGGCAACAAGTATTTATATTAAATATTTGCTCAAATGTTTATTAATAAATAAAAATGCCAAGAAAACTTATATAGATTTTTTTATTTTTTATTTTCAAAGGAACGCAGCAACAGAAACTATCAAACAAAAACTCGTTTATGTTGGACAAGAAGAGGGTAAATTGATAGCAGTTCGTCAGTTGATACAAGAAGGCTTCAAACCACCTGTATTGGTGTTTGTTCAATCAATTGAACGTGCCAGGGAACTATTTCATGAATTAATATATGATGGTATTAATGTTGATGTTATACATTCTGAAAGAACAAAAGCTCAAGTATGGGAAATTTCATTATATGCATGCACTTGTGATTATTTTTTTATTCAAATAGTTATTAAAATCTTATTTTTATATATATATATAAAAAAAGAGAGATTCAATTATTTTAAATTTTCGAAAAGGAAAAATATGGGTTTTAATAACTACTGAATTAATGGCACGTGGTATGGATTTCAAGGGAGTAAATTTAGTTATAAATTATGATTTTCCGCAATCAATTCAAAGTTATATCCACAGAATTGGTAGAACCGGTAGAGCGGGTAGATTAGGTGAGGCTATTACATATTATACAAAAGATGATGCTCCATATTTAAAAAGGTAAGCATCAATTTTATTTGTTAAATATTCCACATTGACTTCTTTATTTATTATTAAAATATTGACTAGAATATTATAATTACAATAATAGTATTGTAAATGTTATGAGAGAATCAGGATGCGAAGTTCCAGATTGGATGCTTGAATTGAAAAATCCATCCAAAGAATCCAAAAAGGAATTGAGGAAAAAGCCAATAGAGCGCAAAACTATTAGTACAAGATCTGATTATGACATTAAGAAAAAAAAAATCAAACATAAATAAAGATAAATTTTTTTTCTTTTGTTAAATATCATTTGATCCAAAAATAGGAAATGTAAGTTCAAATAATGTCATTAATAATTATAATCATCTTTACCTATGTTTGGTGGTGTTGGAAATGGTTTGTTATTTAGTATAGACGGATACATTTATACTAAGATAAATAGCAATTCTACTTGTGAAACTATCAATGTAATGATGTCAATCAAATATAGTGAATTGAAGTAATAATTACAAGAAAAAAATTTTTGTATAAATTTTTTAAATCAATTATATTAATATAGTCTATAATACTACACACCTTAGTTACGTATTAGTATATAAATAAATATTTTGTCTCGCAAATCATTATAAACGGAATTTTATACAATAGTCCAACAACAACAAAATTATTGAATGTGCATATCTGACATCCCAAATCTTAAAATAAAATAAAAAATTCCAGAAATGATTATTACACGTATATAATACTATTAAATATAAATAACTAATTATCTATAATGACAAGATTTAACTTATTTGGGTAGTTAATTCAATCTGTTGAGAATATTTATCCATAAAATTAAAAACAATCAATGATTAAATGTTAATAATTGCCATTTTATTTGGAATTCACAGGTTGGGAAAGGTTTATTATAATTTTAATAAACAACAACATTTTGGATGAATTGTAATTTTTGATGGATCAAATTCTATTTTGTACATTTTTATCAAATTTTTTCCTTGAACCATCCAAACCAAAATTCCAACCTTAAATTCCTTGGCAGTTGGACATTTATCTGGATTAGCATCCATGTATCTGTAAGCTAATTCGATATAGAATTACTCCAGATATATCATTTTTGCAATAAATGAACTAGTAGAATTTTGAAGAATGAATAATTTTGAAAAACTTTCATCATTTTTTATAAATATATATATTCTTCTTGTGTTAATCCATAAATATGAATTATATAATTTTTAACACGAAACTTCTCAAATAATATCTTAAAAAATTGAAACTAATATTAATAAATTATGATCTCGCTGTAATTGTTCGGGAACTATTTCTGCTCATTTAAAGTAACTTTACAACATAAATGCTAATTAATTCCTGCTACAATGATAGAAATTCAACCATGCTAATTTAAACATGTATTTTCTGGGTTTTCCCTTATTCATTTTGGATTTTAAAAAGCAACTTCTGAAGCATACTTTACTATTACCATCATGTAAGGTTCTAATTTTAAAAGTGATAAGTGCTGTAGAAATTCGACCAACTTCAAGGAGGAACTTGTTCCTGGGTCTCCTTTCAACAAATTTACATTTAAATAAAAAATACAATGTGTTTTTGTTATAAAGTAAGCTTGAATAAACGAGTCATAAAAGGAGACGTAAGACCTTTATAAAGGCCTTTAGGATTTGCACAGAGCTATTGTTATTATATATTGTACCATTTTACTTGGATTACAGATTCGCCAAAGCACAAAAAAGAGGTATTAAGCAAAATAATGTTAGTAAATCCCGTAGTAAATATATCAATTGACGAGCCACCAACGTTGTTATACACAATTGATTGACAAGGTTAGCCCAAAGTTAAGCTTAAATCCGGTTCGATTAACATCTTTAATATTAATGGTAATTATAATAGTAAAAGTAAATAATAAAATCTATAAAATAAAATTTTTTTTATATTGATTATCGCATAATAATTTGACAATAGATGAAATTCAAGATGTCGAAGATAGATGATTTTGAAATTTTATTCTTTAATCGCAATAATCATAATTTTGAAAAATACGAATTATTATTTATTTTTCATCGATTTTAGCCAAAAGTTCTGAATCACGAACAAGTATATATTCCTATAATAACAAAAAAAAGAAAAATATTTTGTTGTTAATATATAATAATAATATGATTAATGGCCAGATGAAGTTTAATTAATTCTCAATATTACATCATCTCCAACTTTTATTGTGCTTCCACCGTATGAAGGAAGAAGAACACGATCACCAGGTTTTACTTGATTTGGAATATGATTTCCATGCTAGTCACGTGACGAAAAATATTTAAAGATATTAATAATAAATATAATCGCAAGTATATCTGTTTTTAATCCTATCCAAAAAGCAATGTATGTATCTTTATACCTTATCTAAGGCACCTTTACCGGTGGCAATAACTTGACCTTCGTTAAGAGCTTCTAAAGCTTTCTCAGGAATCAATATTCCAGCAGCTGTTTTCTTTATTATTTTGAGATATATGTGATGTGTAATTTCATCATCGTTATATTTCATTATATTGAATAATATATATATATTTCTTTCTTTTCAATAATTTAAGCTTTATTTCATCTTACCTGTTGAGCTTTAATACGTTGGACAAGTATTCTGTCAAGAAGTGGAACAATTGATTTTACATTTCTTGTTGCAGTTGCCTAAATTAAAAGTAGACAATATGATTATTAAAAAATCAGAAATATATAAAAATAACATTATGCTTACCATTTTATTTTAATATTTTTGTAATGTTAAAATAAAAATTTCAGTAAAAAAAAAATCTTTTTTATTTTTCGTGTGATACAATCATGTAACTTCTATTGATTTAAAATTTTTTATCGTGGAAAGATTTTAACTACCAATCAAATTTGAAAAAAATAAAAATACAATTTTTTTTTCAAGTAAAATGTATCGTGTTCCAAAAATTTTCAATAAATTTACATCATCAACATCACCAACTATTCATAAACTGATAAATGATTTATCAAAAAATTTTATCATTAATAACAAATCATCATCATCATTATTACCTTTATCATCTACACTATCAAGATATTACGTTACTCATAAAGAATTAAAATTTGATATGGAAGGTCGTGCTTCTTTATTAAATGGTGTGGACATACTTTCTAAAGCTGTAGCCGTAACGCTTGGTCCCAAAGGAAGAAATGTTTTAATTGAACAACCTTTTGGCAGCCCAAGGATTACAAAGGATGGAGTGACTGTTGCAAAAAGTATAACACTTAAAGATAAATTTGAAAATCTTGGTGCAAGGTAAAAGCCTTTCATCACATGATCAATCGATGTGTTACATATCATATATAATATATATATATATAACTTTGATTCTGATTTTAGACTTGTTCAAGATGTTGCAAATAAAACTAATGAAGTTGCAGGTGATGGAACAACAACTGCAACAGTACTTACCCGTGCAATTTTTGTTGAAGGTGTTAAAAATGTAGCTGCTGGATGTAATCCCATGGATCTTAGGCGTGGAGTTCAAATGGCTGTTGATGCTATTGTTAAATACTTAAGAGAAATTAGTCGTGTTATTACCACAAGTGAAGAAATTGCTCAGGTAAGTAAATGATATTTATCCATCAGACTAATTAAACATTATTAATTAAACAATTAATAAACAATATCTATTAATATTTAGGTTGCTACAATCTCTGCTAATGGTGATATACATGTAGGAAACCTTATAGCTAATGCTATGGAAAAAGTTGGTAAAGATGGAGTTATCACTGTTAAAGAAGGAAAAACAATAGAAGATGAATTAGAAATTACAGAGGGAATGCGATTTGATCGTGGATATATTTCTCCATATTTTATCACTGATGTTAAATCTCAGAAAATAGAACTTGAAAAACCATTGATTCTTCTATCAGAGAAAAAGATTTCTGTTCTACAAGATATTTTGCCAGCCTTGGAAACATCAGCACAACAACGTAGACCACTATTAATTATTGCTGAAGATATTGATGGTGAGGCATTGGCTGCATGTATATTGAACAAAATTCGTGGTAATGTTCAAGTAGCAGCAGTTAAAGCACCTGGGTTTGGAGATAATAGAAAATCCATTTTAGGAGATTTGGCTATTCTGACTGGTGGTACTGTTTTCTCTGATGAATTAGATATTAAACTTGAACAAGCAACACCTGATTTATTTGGATCAACTGGATCAGTCACAATTACCAAAGAAGATACAATTTTTCTTAATGGAGATGGGACAAAGGAAAGTATTCATCAACGTTGTGAACAAATACGTGCAGCTGTAAATGATCCTACTGTGTCTAGATATGAAAAAGAAAAATTACAAGATCGCTTAGCAAAATTATCTGGTGGTGTAGCAGTGATCAAAGTTGGTGGTTCATCAGAACTTGAAGTTGGAGAGAAAAAGGATAGATTTGTTGATGCATTGAATGCAACAAAAGCAGCAGTTGAAGAAGGAATTGTACCTGGTGGTGGTGTTGCACTTTTGAAATCAATAAAATGTCTTGATAATTAAAACCAAGGAATTTCGATCAACAATTAGGTATCAATATTATCAAATCAGCCCTTACAAAACCAGCAAAAATAATCATTGATAATGCAGGCGAAGAAGGTGCATTAATTATTGGTAAACTGTTAGATGATCGTGTAAATGGTTTCAATTATGGCTATGACTCTGCTACTGGAGAATATGGAGATATGATTTCTCGTGGTATTGTTGATCCTTTAAAAGTTGTCAGGACTGCTCTTGTTGACGCCTCAAGTGTTGCAAGTTTGCTAACAACAACAGAATGTATAATCACTGAAGCACCAGGTAAATTATTATTACTATTATTATTATTTTATTATTATTATTATTATTATTGATATAAATTAATTTATTACTAGATGAGAACAAAAACGCTAGAGCGGGTGGAATGGGTGGAATGGGTGGAATGGGAGGGATGGGAGGGATGGGAGGGATGATGTAGCGAATAGATCAATAAGTAATCTTGAACTATGCAATTAATTTATTTAAGTAACGTTAAATTATTCATAATATTATTAATCAAATTAACTAGTCATTAGTATAAGAAAGAAATTGTTATAAAGTGATGCGACATTTTTTTGTCTTATTTGAATGATTATTATCATTATTTTTATTTGAACAATTTCCTGTTTGTAAAATTTTACATTTCATAAAGTTAAACGATTGTATATTAATATATTCATTTTGAATTTTATATTTTAACTATATAGAACAACGATAACTATTTTTTTAAAACTTCCCTCAAGCTTCAGTTTTTCTATTGATTTCATTTTTTTTAAAGAAATATTTGTTTAATTAAATATTATTTCTTTTGTATGCGACGACGATGATTTCATGCTAAAACGGTTATTCAAAATTGAAAATGAAAATTCTTGCATAAAGTAAAAAAATGGAAGTAAATCCATTAAAAAGTATATACACTTATATATATTTGTTGTTTGGAATAAAGAAAATCAAATAAAAAACCAATGTCCCGATTATTAAATATAGCGAGCCCATTAACAAGTTAATAATATGGGGCAACGTCAAAAATCACGATTTTGAGGAAATTGAAAAAAGATCTGCAGTTACTAAGCTAAAATTATTGCCAAATGTCTCGTTTTACTATTTTTTAACAGAAAATATCAAAATTTTATTAAGTGGGCATAGTTTCTAAGCTAAAATTGTTCCTTGCGACAAGCTACGTATATGTGTGGTATCAACTCAAAATTACGATTTTTGACATTGACCCCCTTTCTATTGTCTATCTGTCTTGGCCTTTTTGGCCTCGGTTTCTTCCTTTTCAACTTCAGCCAAAGTTTTCGCTTTTCCAATCTCTAGTTCGGCTAAAACCTTCGCTTTTCTAGCTTCTGTTTCGGCTCTTCCAGCTTCTGGAGGTTGGAATCGTCCAAAAAATCCTTAGTCGACTAACTAGTTGGTCAAAATTTTCTTTAGTCGACTAATTGGTTGTCTATTACTATTAATTGATTATTTTAGTTGACTATTTTAGTCGACTATTTTAGTCGATTATTTAGTATTAGTATTAGTATTAGTATTAGTATTAGTATTAGTATTAATATTAGTATTAGTATTAGTATTAGTATTAGTATTAGTAGTATTAGTAGTCGACTAATTAGTCGACTAAAATAGTCAACTAAATAACAATAATCGACTAAAATAGTCGACTAAATAATCGATTAAAATAGTCAACTAAATAATCGATTAAAATAGTTGACTATTTAGTCGACCAAGATGTCGACTATTAGTTGTTCAAAAAAAGTTTAGTCGACTATTTTAGTCGATTCAAACCTCTATAAGCTTCGGCCTCAACTTTTCTTCTTTTAAATAGGTTTTCACCACCATACCTCTTTTGTAATTGTTGTGACTTAATGATGGTAAACACCTTTATCGCTGTTTGATGATGATGGCGATGAAACATTATTATTTTCAACTTAATAAAATAAAAAATTAACAATTTATTTTATCTCATAACTGCATATTATATGATAGATTTCTACTAATCTTGCTCATAAAATTTCATTGCTCTATCATCGGCCATGACTTTATCTCGGCTGAAATTTAATAACACTTGTAGAGACGTTAAGCTCATGGCTTGAGATAAATCAACATATGTATGTATGTTCTGTTTTATAAAATAATATAGGATAATTTTAATGCTAATAACTAGAATAGCTCCCAAATGGTAATCATTCTCTAGTAATGCTTACCTTCTCGAATCTCCTAAATGTGTTGCTTGGCTTCTAGATAAGCAAACACGTAAAATTTAGTAGGTAGTGTTGTGTGGAGAAGCCTCTTATTTTATAGGAAAAATAATTTATTTCTTGACGACGAGGAAGATACGTTTTCTTTTATACTTTTTTATTATTATATATAATATCTTATTACAAATATCTTAAATAATCTAATTACCTGGGTCTCTGCGCCATATTTGGTATCTGTGATCAATTACTAATAAATTATAAATTTTTTTAAAAGCAATAGGCATGATCTTTGCTACCGTTGTTCATAAAGTATGCAGTATGAATAATTTTTATATGGGTTTAGTTTTAAAAAAAACAGAACACAAAAACTATAACTTAGAAGAAAAATCAAAAGATTATGAGCAAGTATAGAACCTTTCAAAAAAAAAATGGTGACGACGATTATTGATCTAAACTCGTCCTTAGCAAAATTTGACCTTTTTATGTCTATTTATTTCAAATGTAATTATCAAAGAAAAAATTTAGCAGCGTAATGCTAAAGAGAAAAAGGACATTACACGAGCATTATTAATAACCATCCCGTTAACTAACCAACTGTATTGAGAAAAAGCAAAATTCCATCAGAAAAAATGGACACTAGCAAAATAATGTCATTTGTTACAACTAACAAGTAAACTCACCATTGAAGATGGTGATTACACGTTTCATAATTGTTATCATTATCCCAAACTGATTTCACATAATCAATGAATGATAAAATGTGGATGCTGGCAGTTAAGGAAAATTTCTGCTGAAATTTGGAAACTAGCTTTAACATTTTTTTATAACGGGAATAAACAGTCAGAGCCTTAATTTTGGTCCAGGACAAGTCAAAATCATAATTTGGAGAATTTCTAGATCAGGGATGGTGGTGTATGAAATAGAATAGTCATTGAAATAAAATAGGTCTACATGAAACCATAAGAAGCTTTTAATTAGAAACCATGATCTTAAGAGAGTAACAATCAACTTGTACGTAGCATAATACCATCTACTTAATATTTATAATTTATATTAACTCATATAAAGAATTTCATACCCATATATAAAAGTGGTACTATGTTACTAAGGGCCTTCTCATTCACACTCATTTATGAATGATCATGAGCGATTATTACCAATTTTGGCTATTTCAGCCACAGTGTGAACACTCGCCCTCCAAATTTGGATTTATGATCATTCATAAATGAGTGTGAATGAGAAGGCCCTAATTACCGATACATTCTTTCTTTTCTACCTTGATAAATTTTTAATAAAACGTAAAACGTACGTTTCGTTAAAAATTGTTTTATTCATTGATTGGCCAGATTAATAATCATATGACAAATGATTATCGAAATTTGTACAACTATAAATTACCAAAATTAGGAAATCTTTACTATGCTCTTACGTATACGTTTTGTCATTTATTTGCATCCTTATCAAAGTCAATCAATATAATTGTTATTTTACAACTAGCCTTTTATCTCAGACTTGTGTATTCGTTACTTTTGTAGATACATGAGCTTTTAGGATTATTCATCAATGTCCATCAACCGGGAAAAAAAACCGAAAAACGAACATTTGATATTAATATTGATTTTGTGAAACAAATTTAATTTTTGATACATGAGGCCATCAAAACCATTACTGATTATCAAGAATTACTATGTTATAATTATTTTCTAATGTTATTGAAGGTAATGGATGTCTTGTAGCCAAAACATGTAAATATATAAACTATTTATACAAAAAATTATTATACAAAAAATTTCCTATTATTAGATTACTAATGAATTAAATTATTAAGAATAAAAAAAAAATAAATTAGAATTTTTGAGAAGAAGATGAGAAAGATAATCTTAAGAATATATGTAAATATATGTATGTATATTATATACAATCTCATTAAATAAATAAATGTTCTTGCCATCCAACTTTGTTATTTCTTTACCATTATTATTATCATTATCATCAATCATCATGATTAAAGTTTGTCTTGAAATTTAAGAACAATTGGAACTAAATAAAAAATAAATGATTTTAGAAAACAATCACGAAGAGAAAAAAAAATTTGGAGTTAATTAAAATATATACTTATTATTGCCGCTAGAATTGCGATTCCCGTGATTGTTAAGACAATTGTCATCTTTGTATTCTTCCACCACATTTGATTTCTTACTTTTTTTGTTTGAGCTTTAAATGCAGTTGTGGTTTCATTTAACATCACTTTTGAGATAAATACAATCAATATTAGAGATTTAATATTAGAGATTTTATTATTTAATAATTTTTTCAATTATTATTATTAAACTAAACTTACTCGTCTGTTCTTCTAGCTCCTCTAATTTTTTTCCTTTCTTGGCCATTTCATGAAGAGTTTTTTGTATTTCGCCTTTTGTATTGTCTATCGTAGCTTGAACCATCTGAATTTTACTGGGTCCTTCTCTTGGAGGTACACCTGTTTGTTCTGACTTTCCAAGAGAATGTTTTGGGTGATGTGGATCATAAAGCTCAGAAACTTCTGGTTGTTTGCCTGACCTATATAATATGTGCGTGTATTTATACGCATTTATAAATATATATATATAAATTTTTAAAAGCATTCATTTATAAAAACAATATAAAGACTTACATTTTTATAATCTTTATTAGAAATAACAATTAATCGTTAATAAATATTTTCGTTAATAGTAAATATTATAGTCGTAAACAAAATTGTTTTTTGTTAAGAAAAATTCCAATGGAAAATATAAATACATATATATTTATTGCTTTTTTTTTCTCCAAAATAATTAATCAGGGAATTTTTTTTTTTAATAGTTTGTTTTCTATATTCATAGGTTGTTTTTTTTTTTATTGGGAAAAAAAAATGTTTAGAATAGATTTGCCTTACTTACTATTTGCAGGAACACCGAATTGTGGAACACCAGAGGTTTAAGGTAAAACCTTATTATTTGTGCAACAGCAACTTAAGGTTTATACTTGGGAATTTTACTTATTACTCAATTTCTATAAATATTTCTGTTATTTGTTTTATTGTAGAATCAATTAGCCAATTAACGAAGATTAAAATATATACAATGTATATCACGTATATAGTACTATCATAAAAAAAAATTTTATACAATAAAATTATATACATTAATTGATAATCCGTCCGAATTTATTATTATTTAATTATTTGCTTGTTATTATTATTGTAATCATTATTGTTATTATTGGTATCATTATTGTCGTTGTTGTTGTTGAGTGCTCTCAATTGATTTCTATAATTAAGCAACTCTTTTTTATATTGAAATCGTTCACGATACAAAGCATTAGTTTGTTCTTGTAGTTCTCTTTTGTTTTCCTCAATTAAACTTTCCATTTCTTCAAATCTTTGGAGTCTAAGTTCAAGCTTCTTAAAACGATTTTCCATTATAGAATTT